CCTCATATGGGGTGTCATGTACATAGTGATGCTTTTTCATAAGGATATAACTCATACTTAAAACTAAGTAGCGACAAATCTTCTCTACAGGGATTTCTGTTTTTTATTTTTTGGCCTAAAATGACAGAAAAACTAAATATAGTAAATAAATAAATAAAAAGAAAAATACCCAAATCTTTCAGTGGCTTCTAGAATGTCCACATTTGAAGAAATGGTGGAAACTGGGTAAAAGTGCAATTTTTCTCCAAACTGGGTTTAAAGTGTAGTTTTCTTAGACAATTGGGTCAAGTGCAATTTCTGCAAAATATCAGTTATGACGTCAACAAAGACGAAGGCCCGTGGGTTTACGCGTAGTGGCTTCTACCGACACATGCGGTGATCGTTGGCCTTGAAAATTCCGGTTCGAGCTGCTTTCTTCAAGCCGCACACAACAGAAATGGCTGTGCCTTGATAGGCACGGTTTCTCTCCACTGAGGTTCCCGTCCGCTGCGCCTCCACTTCGACTCTGCGACAATCGTTTGGGGCATATGGTAAAACGCAACTGAAATGGATTGTCGTGCGTGGTTATAAGATTGAATTCCAAAATTAAAGAGAAGCAGGCATATTGATACATTTGCAGGGCCCACAAAATATTACCAGCAAAATTGTATTTTCATCCAAAACAAAATTGAGATAAATAATTAAATGTTACTATTTTACATAATAAAATTATCTTGAGAATAAAAAATAAATGTAGAAGACTAAATTGAATATTTAACTAGCTTTTATATTTAGTATCAGACGTAGTAATACATAATCAGGACAAAAAATTTTGCTACTTTGCTTTATAAATAGAATAAGAGTTGTATTTAAAAGGTATAATTTTATTACTAAAAAAAGGATAATTTTATTATGTAAAAGAGTAATATTTAATTATTTATAATAAATCTTGTTTTGGATGAAAATACAATTTTGCTGGTAATATTTTGTGGGCCCTGCAAATGTAACAATAAGTGCTGGGTCCTGCTTCTCTTTAATTTTGGAATTCAATCTTATAACCACGCACGACAATCCATTTCAGTTGCGTTTTACCATATGCTCCAAACGATTGTCGTAGAGTCGAAGTGGAGGCGCAGCGGACGGGAACCTCAGTGGAGAGAAACTGCGCCCGTGCGTTGATCGGATGTCGGGATTGGCATCAATATTACGGCGAGATGGCGGCGGCGCCAGATCTATGCGTCAAAGGAGCCGATCACGTGTGTGGAGGCACAGGAAAAATAGAGCAAAAAAACAGACCGAACTCGTCAGACTAGTCCATTTAGACCCAAAAATTATGAGGGTCGGGTTTGAAATTTTTTCCCCTCAAATGGAAAATGAGTCCTACTAATGGAGAGGTTAAATGGGCCGACTGTTTAGATCTTATAATTTTTTTATTTTTTAAAAATTTTTTATGTAATTTTAATATTATTAATTTTTTACATTGTTAATGGCATTTTATATATTTAGTTATTATTTTTATTTTAAAATTAAATTTTACTGAATGGTTTGATTGATTTAGTTCTAGACAATAATTTGTCTAATTAAATTGTTATAAAATGGGTTAATTTGGACTTTAATAATAATTTGATTTATATTATATGTATCGATATTTTTAAACTATATATATTTGATAAGAGAGTATTCTTATACTTATATAATTTGAGATTCTATAATTTAAATTAGAAATTTATGAATTTCAACCACAGTGTTTCTCAAATTAAAGTAAAATTAGGGGTGTGCGTGGGCAGGGTTAGGCAGGGCAGGATCCCTGCCCGATGCCCAACCTGAAAGATATGCGGGTTATAAAATGCAGCCCGCTGCTCGGCCTTGCCCAGTAGAAGCCCTAGACATTTTGGGCAAGGCTAATGCGGGTTGGGTAGGGCGGGCTTTTCTTGCCCAAGGTTACAATTTAAGTCTTGAAATTTAAAATACTATCGTATGTTTTAACAAATATCTATACTCCAGGAATTAAATAATATCCTTATATTTTTTAAAAAACAAGACAATAAAAAGAATTATAATTCAAGCCTTAAAGTTCAAATGATTTGCATCAATCTCCACAATACAAGCTACATTAACATATTCAATTATATTATTAACTTATGATTCAATATATTCTATAGTGTTTTATATGTCACATTCAAATTAGTATAATTTCATGATATATGAAGTAATATCAACATGAAAAAGTTAAAAGACAATTATAGTACACAACAAAGTAATTTAGAAAAGTTAGAAAAAAAGTGGTATTTCTAAAATAACTAAAACTTTAAAAATGTAGAGTCTTATGGAGCAATTTCCTTTGTATTGAAATATAATATCTTAATATTACACTATATTTATAATAATTCTAGCAAAAAATATATATTACAATATAAATAATCACAAACACATATATTTTTTTCCAGGCAGGGCCGCATGCCATGCCCGTGGCCAGGCCCTGCCTGTGATTAGCCCTGCCTAAAAATACCCATTTTTTCTTTGGGCCACTTCTTTTTGGGTTGGGCAGGGCATTTTTTTGGTGGGCATGAGTGGGTTTACCGGGCTATTGGACATCATGAACACCTCTAAGTAAAATAATAATTAGACTGCAAAATTTAAAAGTGAAATTCTTATAAAGAAAAAAAAAACTTGATATTTTTGTTACCAAAGAAAAGCCTACTTATTCAAAAGAGTAATTGATTATAATAATGATGAAGTTTTAAAAGATTAATGATAGTATTTGTTTCTTGCACATTTACACTATAGATGAAACTTTTGAATGTTGTTATCTTGTTAATGAATGTTTTAGATATTCTTAGATGTTGATAGATATTTATATATGATGATATTTTATATTTGTGACTTAATTTTATTCATAATTATGTCTTTTATTAATAATTTTATCGTTTATTTTTATTTTTTTATTAGAAATATAAGAAATATGAAAAATAGTTTTTGTTTTAAACAGGCCAAAAGCCCATGGGCTAGCCCTGAGCCTGTTAGCTTAAGGGTCAGACCTAACAAATTAAAGTATTTTTGAAATTTTGGCCCTATAAAGTCAGGTCGGGCCGTATTCCCACCTCTAAGAACAGGAGATGGGAGCAATGCTTTGATCACAGAGTAAGGATATTTTAAATATCCCATCGCAGGTAAAAGTGGGAGAGCTTGTAAAACTGACACAAGCAAAATGGAGTTTGCACTATATAAGATAGATTGACTGCAAAACTAATACAAAATAACTTTCGAAATAAGCCAATGATAACTTTCGTAATAAGCCAATAACTCAACCCTTTACTGAGTAAAATGAAAGAGAGACAAAACATGATTTCATATGAACACAATCAGAATGATCTATCATTTCTCTCGTAGCATGCCTAATTTAAGAAAAGACAATTAGGTGTACATGTCAAAAGTTAGATTTAGAACAAATGGTGTTAAAAATCACAGGATAAAATGTAAAAGCAGGGAAAGCTAAACCCAAATAATTGTTACTTCCCAAGGGGCAAAAGTAGCTAGCTCCATCATACCCGTGTCCATTACAGAACGAGTAAGTTAATTATTTGCTTTCTCTAATAAAATCATCAGGATTTATGATGCTAATAACCGAGCATTGAAAAAGCAGGGACATCATTTTGGGTAAACCATTACAGAAGGAGTAGAGAGAACATAGACATTTACCGTCTAGACCTTACATATCCAATTTGACTTTGTAACACAATCATTTTGGGTTCCAGAAGACCCTAAATTACAGTGCACGATATAACCAAAATGATACAATATTGTGAGGCAAGGGATCCTCCTATATATAGAGCAAGAGCTATAAAACGAAGAAGCCTCTCTCATATCCCATGCCAAAAATTTTCATCTATGTATTTCTCTTCCTGTTCATGTTCTTGTTCCTGAACATCAGATCAATTTTATGTATGCGTTATTCACAACATATATCAAGCAAAAAAAAGAGATCAACAATTCCAGTGACAAAATGGCCTACACGCCACACACACACACGGAGCTAATTAGGACTCGGCCTAAATCTAACGAAATTATTTAAAAACATGAAAAACTTATTCAACAAATAGTCTGTGCGACATGCTAATTTTAATTCAGGATAGTCATCTAAGATTTAGAGTAGCTTAGTTGTGTTCATTGCTGCATGGAAGCACACAGGATTGTGAAAAAATGACTCAGGCTGAGTGCTTTGAATTGGTGAAAATGATCGATACAAAGGAAAGGAAAGAAAAGATATTTTGGAGAGAAGCGGTTTTCCTCTTATAGGGCTTGATAAACGCTTAGGTATTCTAACTCGATTTTTCTCCCGTCTATCTTGGAGTTTCGGGAGTTTAAGATGTTTGAAATCAAGGTTCATGAATGCTTCAAATTCGATTCTAAGGAGTTTCTCCCTATTGATTTGTGTTCAATGGAATCAGTGTGAGTTGATTAGTACCATTTAATTAGTTTAATTTCGATCCATTACATAATTATGATGATTTCACCATTAAAAAGGAGGAACAAGGAAGAAAAAAAGACCCCCAAGAGCTTTTGTCTCATAATTTTGGACCAGATCCAAGTGGATTTTCAATGCTAAGACCAAAACCCGAAAAAAAAAAAAAGACCCAACGCCACCATTCATAAGAAATCATTAGCACTACTACGATGAAAACCATGGAAGCATACATATAAAGAGCAAAAGTATTAACACTACCAAAAAATAACTAGCAAAAGTACTAAATCTCTCATTTCCCCAATACGTCAATGAATGCTTAGGACATAAATTTAATCAAGGATTCGTCAGCTTTCATCGTTGCAAAAATGACCTGTTAGACTTCCAACAGAGTGAAAGGAATTGAAAAGTCAAATTTAATTTCATATAAATTCATGGCAGATTTTTAAGAATGAAAATAAAGAAAAATAAAACAAACGAAGACAATTGCAACGTCCATACATGCGTATACTATGAACATAAATAATAAGATGGCATCCATATATAATAAAAAAGAGAGTCAAATTTTGGAGGAGATTTGCACCTGACTATTGTATTTCCAATAGATTTCCTGTCCCATCCATGCCTTCTGCATTTGAAGCTTACATCCTTCTTTGATCTCTATATGAGGAGGACTTAGTTTCTCACAATAGGAGGCCTCAAAATAATGGAGAGAAGGACAGAGCATGATTCCTCTGAATACAAAAGTCAATTGTGATAGAAAATTCAGTTTCAAAGATCTCACATTGGAAAGAGTGATCGTAGGGTTAGAAGTGTTACCGCTACAATAATTCTCTCCAACTATTTCTTCCATCGACCCACAACTTACAACAGAAACAGTCTCTAGGTTTTGGAGCTGTGCTAATAATTCTGGTGTCATCAGAATCTTCATGCTGCTACATCCAAAAATATCGAGTTCTCTGAGATAGAGGAACGGGCTATCCAATGATAGAGGAGGTTGTGCCACTATTTGTTTCAAGTCTTTCAGCGCAGTAAGGTGCAGCGATTGACTTAATATGACAGAGGTGCAAAATGAGCAATTGGGAGACACACAGAACAAGTACTCCAGCCGATCGCATTCCCTTATTTCCATCCATTCAATTTTTGGTAAATTATTATTATTATGAATTGACAGAGCATGGCATAGGCAAGTAGTTCTCCTTGTCAAATCATTACACTTGCTTATAATCAACCTTTTGACGTCTCCTGGAAGTACCGCTACTCTATTTGCCCAATCAATACCAGATAAAACAACCCCTTTTAAGTGGTAGACTCTTTCAATTGAGAAAGCGGCATAATGTAATGAGGCTAAACTTAGATAATAACCTTTGAGTCCATGATCTTCGTCTAGGAAGCTTTTAACAAAGGTATTAAACTCTTCAATATCACAAAAATTGACTGATATAACTTCCAACTTTCTCAAACCTTGTAGATCTTGTCTGCCCACATCCATCAATGCTGGGATGCAGTTCATCAACAGAATTTGTAGATTGCTCATTTTGGATATTACTGATGATGACATTTTCAATTGATTTGTACCTTGTAGATTCAACAATCTAAGATTGACCAACAACTCCAGGTCACAAGGTGCTTCAATGATGGCAGTATATGAAAGGTCCAACTCTATTAAACGCTGCAGTTTTGCTAATGAAGGGATGTAATTCAATTTTCTACATCGTGAGAGTAATAATGCAATGAGACATTCCAAGTTAGATATAGATTTGGGCAAATGCTCAATGCTAGTCCGAGACAAATCAAGTATTTTAAGAGCAGGCATGTTAATGAAAAAATCATCTGGAATCCATTTGAGATAAGAATTAGAATTTAAAATCAATGCAGAAAGTTTAGAGCACTTGGGAGATGTGTCATCTAAAATATCTGGTACATCACTTTTACTTAGAAAAACAGAACGCAAATTTTCATTCCATTTTCCATTCTCTGACAATCCTATTAAATTCATGCCATGTTTTGTCATGATTTGTTCAGTCTTCTTTGCAAGATTAATAGCCATGACCTGAAGCAAAGTGTGCACTCTCCATGTCCCATACTTTTTCACCAACAAGCTGCTATTTTTTAATTTATGGCACATGGTGTAACATTCATTATATCGCATCTCAAAGCTCTTTGCCCCATCTATCCATTCCCCATAGAAAAATCTTTTCATAAAAGGCTTAATAAAACTATCCAATACAGTCCCCTTAGCACTCAATGCAAAGTACAAAAAAAACCTTTGCAATTTATCGTTTAAGAAAGAATAACTAGATTTCAATACCTGAAATACCCTCTCATCCATATGATATTGCCCGTCACCCATGTTTTGAAGGCATTCCAACAAATGATCCCATTCTCTTATGTGCTCTTTTCCCTTCATGCTTCTTGCTATCATAACAATTGCAAGGGGCAAACCCTCACATTGTTCTGCCACCGCCCTTGCTTTAAGCTCCACCCCAGTCGGTCGTATTTGATGGACTCCAAGAGTCTTTTTAAACAAATCAAAACCATCTTCTTTACCTAGAGGTTCTACTTCTATTATGTTCTTCATGCAACTCATACTTTGGCACACTTCCCATGATCGAGTTGTCAAAATCAATTTAATCCCATTATTTGAAACTGGAAATCCAACCTCTTCTAAATATATTGGATTCCAAACATCATCTAAAATAAGGACACATCTAATTATGTGTTTGAATGCATGTAATAATTTTCCTGATATCCTTTTGACATCACACTCATCATATATGTCTAAATTAATTGATCTTGCAATGGCCTTTTGCAACTTAGAAATGCTGTCATTAGACTGTGACACGGTAACCCAAATAATATGCTCGAAGTCATCACCAGCTTCTTCTAAAAGTTTGTTATGCACGTGAGTTACTAAAGCTGTTTTCCCTGCTCCGCCCATTCCCCATATCCCAATGGCTGACACCTCACCTTCTGTTATCCATTTCCATATTTGTTGGGTATACCTTTGAAACTCTTCTCCCACTAAATCAACTGGCGGCAACAAATAACCTCTAGAGCATTCTAGCAAAAAGAATAAGAATAATCTATTAACATGAGTTCACAAAAGGAATTATAGAATTCAAATGCCGGGAGTAAGAAGAATAAAATAGAAATAAATTCAATATATTGCATTTAGATATCCTTTACCATGTCTTCAAAACAAAGTAATACTCATCTAGCATGAAATTACAAAGAATGTACAAATAATTTTTTACAAATCACTTCTCAAAAAGGGAAAGGGTATATATATTTAAGTTGAAGCATATACCTGTTTTCAGACGAACATTTTTTCTCTTCACTGTATTATCAGAATCATCCAATTCCATGTATGCCCCTCCTCTTCCAACATCTTCAACCCACTTTCTTTTAGTTCCACGTAAATCTAAATCTTCTTCACTATGGGCTTTTGCATAACTTCTTGCTGCTTCATCATATAGTCTTTCTTTTTCATTATTTAGGTTACTCTTGAGTAACTTTAAAGCCAAATCCAACCTTTCTTTATCACTGTCAAACTGAAATTTGTCCATATGTATTATTTAATATATGATAGAGTGTTCATAGATTCATGTGCATGTGTGTGTATAAGAGCATTTAGCAAAACTAATTTGCAAGTGACCATACCTGAAATAAGGGATTTTGCGTCACATAATGATCTGATTGTTGCATATAATTAATAACAAATATACCACAATCATGTCTACATATTGAAAAAAAAATGATATGGTCAATATTCATACTTGTTTTAATAAAGACTATAAGTTAAAAACAAATCATAAACTCACCTGTTAGGCTGTAACAAGATATTGCTCGCCATTCTCCTATCGAATTTTGTGAACATAACATTTCCAAAGAGATTATCCATGGCAAGCAGCTACACAAAAGAGATACATTCTAAAGAATTAAAAGATCAATCTATTACTTGCATGTATATCACGTGCATCTTTGTAATACTTACCAGTTTCTTCGTTGTTTGGTCGCGTTCAGTTTCATCCATAAATCGATCACATAGAGAATCCCATATTTCAACTTCCTGATTCTTCGTATGAATGATATATAGATAATAATGTCCACATGAATTTTTCTCAACATGAACAGGAATAAATATCTGTGTCATGTGGTCAAACAAATCAAATTGATATACAACCAAAAAGAGTAATCATTATGAGAAGTGAAACATCAAACTAGATAGAAAGATAATACCTTCTCACAATCCACCGATTCAGACATGTAGTTGTCTCTCATATTATTCCGGTGAACAAAGTCAAGGAAGAAACTTACATCACCACTATTGAGTGTTTTCTATAACAAAAGAATCCTTAATTAAATATCCTTGTCAATTAAATTGTCTTTGATTCAATAACTAACAAATATCATCCAATTGAAAAGAGAATAGGAAATCACCGAAGACATCACCGGAAGATACCAATTCAAAACTTTGCTTTTGTTTCTCCTTTCATTGTCAGTGAGGATATCAGCAAAAATATTTATTACCTAAGAAAATAGGAAAATTAAACACTACCATATAGTGAACCCCTTGCTCAATAGTAACAAAATAGAATAAAAGTAGGGTTAAGGTACAAATTTATCCCGAAAGTTTAAAATTATAGCAATATTGCCTCGTATCATTAAAAATATTAATAGCCAACATTACTGTAACGTCAGTTTTTTAGCAGTAGGAGACAATATTGTTACGATTTTAAAACCCAAAAAAACTTTTAAGTACCTAATGCTTCTGGGTAAAAACTTTGGAACAAATTTATATCTTAACCCATGAAAGTATAAGTAAATACTCACCCATGAATCCAAATGAGCCCGTGGTCCAAGTGTGGTCAATTCCGATTGACACAGATGTGTACCTCCATGCGACGAAAAAATTATACATCTATCACTAAAGAACATGTAAGGTGAATGATTTAATTAGGCTTCACATTAGAAAAACTAAACATTACTAATACTCACACATAAAAGCACCAATTATATATATGTATATAGTTGTAAGCATATGTATCTAACCTTAAACGCTCAAAAACATATTGTATCAACTGTAAGTCAGGTTCGTCCGCAACATTATTGGGAACACAAAAAGGGCCGACCCTAATCCTCTCTTGATGCAAAGCTTCTAAGTCGATTTGCACTTGTTGGGGAGCATTCATCCCTTCCCACATTGTTTGGGGGGAAATGTAACAATCGAGCATTCTTTCGTTGATGAGTTTGTTATGATCTCTTTGTCCTATAATTAGTTGCGAAAGTCACAACACAAATTTAAAATCTGTAAACTACAAATTAATAATAGGCTACTAATTAAATTAACTATGACTTAGTACGTTTCATGCTCATCGCAATTTAAACATTTTGAATGATTCAGATTGAATTTAAGTTTGTTATATATTTTAAATAATTTTTTGTTTTAACGAATACAGAGTTTAAAAACTATGAATTAATAGTAGGCTACTAATTAATTGGAACCATTTTCAATACTCATCATCTTGACGATCACTCTAAACTCATCAAATCTGGATCATTTATATTTGATTTGAATAGTCCAAATTTAAAATATTTAATTAATTATTTTTAAATAGAAAAAACTATTTTTTTTTTTGAAAGAATGATACTTAAGAGATTATCTCTATTTTAGATTCTATACGTATTAAAATAATTATTTTAAATAAATAAAAATAAAAAGGAAATCAAATCTGAACCACTAAAATGAGATATAGATGTTCCAGATCTAATGAGTTTAGAGTGCTCATCAAAGTTATGAGTATCAAAACTGGTTCCTAACTCTCACTTATTACATTCCATGCCCATCGATGAGCATGGAGTGCTCATCGCAATTTGAACTATCTAGATTGATTTTAAATGATCCAGATTGAATTTAAATTTTTTATATATTTTAAATAATTTTTTGTTTTAATAAATAACATCTTTTAAAAAAAAATTATCAATGAAAAAAAATTTTCATTTCTGATGTTGGATAGTTTAGATTACATTATGGTAATGTGATGAGCACCGAACAAATCATTCCTCACTGCATTATATGATTTTTTTTTACCTTGTCTCCATTATATGATTAAAAACTGAGGAATATATATGATTTAGAATTAACATATAGTAGTCATCACCATCCACAATTAATATAATCGGAAAACACGTATGAGGTGAAAAAAATATGTTGACACTCCTTATCTGATAAATTAACTTCACACACTAGGAATTAATGCTTAATTTCATTTATATTCACGTTAGAAAGAATAACAATCTCTCTGAAGGAGCTTATTACACTTACCCTTTCGAGGTATACCAACACACACACATATATATATCATTTTATTCTTCCTTAAAATTGAAATATACTATAATATTATCTCGTACCTTGTGAATGAAAGAGATCCTGTTTCTGGCAGCTGCTGGTGTGTTTGTTGGAAAGAGGAGAAGTACAAATTCGAATACCCTTGCCCCTAATTTGATTAATATGAGACTTGATTCGATTGGTACTTGCTGCAAATTCAAATCCACAGCGATTGCACCTTACTTTCTTCTTCTTCCCTTCCAATACAGTGACGTGTTTCCACGCTTCAACATCCTTAGGCCTTCCACCAGCTGATCCTTCTTTCCCCATTATTATTCCTTTTTCCCAAGAAATCTGCCTTTTCCAGCAAATAAACATTCGGATCGATATAAAAAGAAAGCGAATTAAGGAATCTGACTGGTTCGTTTTAACTTGTATATATATATATATATATATTGAATATGGATAGCCTAATCAAAGCAAAACTAAGAGAGAAAGTGAAGTTACTTGCATCAGGTATCTGGAGGGGATCGATGAGCAGGGGTAGAAGATAGCGATGACTTGAAACCAGCAGAAAATAAGGAAGAAGATGAGGTATACAATAATATATAAAAGCAGTGTCTTCCTTGTTCCTAAACTATGAAACTGTATATGAAGCCATTATTGTAGTCAAACTCTCTGACTAGAGAAGATTCTTTTAACTTTACTAGATTGTCCTCACCTGGGGAAAAGTTTGCACGAAGTACAATAATCCAAAATTGGAAATTAACAACTTGTGTGGGGAAAGTTTGAAAACGCGTCGCAAGTTGGAAACTTCCGTTTTTTTTTTGGTGGGGCTCTGAGCCCCCACACTTCATTCCGAACAGGCCTAGGGGAGTTGGACAAAGAACTCACCGGGACGAAAATTACAACGAACAAATTTTGTGGCTAATTCTATAATTAAAAATTTTATATAAAAGTAACCAAAAAAAATTTCATATAAAAAGTTAGTGATGGAGTTAGTTTTTTAAATTTTTTAGAGAAAAATTCCGTCACTGGAAATTTACCAACAGAATTTCTAACCGATCAACGACAGAATTTAGCAAGGAAATAAAATTTCGTGGCTAATTTGTCACTAAATTTAGATGATTTTTTGTAACTAATTTTGTAGATAATGAGCTGTTATTTTAGTCGTACAGGGTGACTTGAGCGAGGCTTTAAAATATAAATAAAAATACAACATAGTAAATTTTCTAATATTTTAAAATTCTAATTTAATCATTACGACTATTACTTAGAATTTTCTAAGTTCAAGTGGCTTTTTGGAGTTTTGAAAATTCAACTATCATTTTTTTTGAAAAATTTTCCAATTTTTAAGATAAACTAATCTTTAATTTTACTATAAAATGCTGGAAAAATTAAATATAAAATATATTAATATACAGTAATTAATATTTGAAACTAAGACTAGAAATTAATTTTTAGAAGCTAAGTGGCAAGTCTTTGGAGTAGTTTTGGAAATTAGATCAATGGTTTTAGAGTAATTCTACCAATAAATATGGGTTAAAATGCAAATTCATTCTGAAAAATTTCGCTCAGGAACACTGGGTATCCAAAAAAATTTTGGGAGCAAATTGGCTCTAAAATTTTAGAATTATAGCAATATGTCCCTATATTGTTAAAAATATTAATAGTTAGTATCACTATTTTAATGGTCAATGTTAGTATTTTGCTGGTAGGAGGTAATATTGTTACGATTTTAAATTTTCATAGCAAATTTGCTCACAAAAAGGCTTCTAGATACCCAGAGTTCCTAAGTAAAAACTTCTAGGGATAAATATACACCTTAATCCTAATAAGTATTTATGTTTATGATCCCTTACACTTTACAAGTTTTGGATCAGATTTATTCTATTGTAATTATCAGTAAGTTGAGGAATATAACATGTAACTTTGGGGGAAAAAAACAAGTAACTCTTAAAGTTCTTATACATAAATATAAACTATATGCAATGTTACTGTTATTCATTACTCCTCTAATCCTATTTATAAAGCAGAAAGAGAATGTTTTTCTTAATTCGGTTTACAAGTCGTTTCATTAAATTTTAGCATGAATGTACTATTTTTTTCTTAATTTATTATAGTATAGATGATTGTTTTTTTTTCCAAGATGTATATAAAGAGTTGAAATTTGTTATATTATCATAGAGAGTTAATGTAGTTTAATGTCCTTCTTGGTTTATATGAAATATGTTAAAAATACCTTATAAATAGGTATTAAATTGATATTTAGTCTTTTAAACAGTATAATGGGAATTTAAATTAATTTTTATTTTTTTTAGTCCTTATTGGTTTGACTCTCGAATTGATTTTGGTTTAACTGTATCGGATGCCGTTGATATGGGCTCAGATGGGGGTGATCCAAATACAAGTGGGCAGCCCATTATATTGAGGAAGAGCCAAAGAGCCCGAAGAAAGACCTGGAAGCTAAGGGAATTGGATAATGCGGAAGATATTATATAATAGCCTGGGTTGTTAGAAGTGGGGGTGTGCATGTATTCGGTTATTTTCTTCTCTGACAGATTCTCTGTGTCTCTCTCTCTCCCCCTTCATCCCCACTGTAACTCTCATTCTGCATTTTCTATTATGTCTGTGTAGCGACTGTGTTCATACTCTGAATTACCAGAACGGTGATTTCATCGGTTATAAATATATATATTCAGAATTGCATTCATATTGATTGTGTATTATTGAGCTAACGTGACATTTGGTGCTTTTATTGAGTCTCCATGGTAGAGAGTACACGGTTGAAGAAATTGCAAGCCGACGTGAAAAAGACACATGAGTTTGTGGAAGATGCAAAGGAACGTTTCGACCGTATGGACCAATGATTTGATGCGTTGGAAACAATGATGAAAGCCATGATGCAGTCGATGGAAAGTATGAAATCCGAATCCTCATCCTCGTGGTTCAAGGAGAAGGAGGCGTCACATGGTACTTCCGGAGGCTACATTCCAAACCTGTAGAAAACTATAAAAGTGGAGTTCCCACAGTTCATTAGCACCGATGCTCTTAACTGGATTTTCAAGGCTGAGCAATATTTTTAAGTATTACAACATAGCTGATTCACAGCGACTGATGATTGCTTCTGTCCATTTTAATGGAGAGACTTTACTGTGGTACCAGATGCTAGAGAAGACGGGCCGTATACCGAACTGGGAGACGCTTGCAAAAGAGGTAGAGATTTAGTATAGACCTACTCAATTTGATTGCCCCTCGTCTCAACTCTTTAAGCTAACGTAACACAACATGGGAGGCAAGTTGGAAGATTATAATCACCAGTTTGTGGCCTTGGCAAATTGTATTGAGGAGATACCAGAATCTGCACTATTGGATTGTTACCTGGGAGGCTTGAAACGTGATGGGTTGGTTCAACAGCCTACCTCAGTTCTCAGTGCTATGGCTTTGGCTATGCTCTTTACAGAACTGACTTCGACGGGATTTTCAGTGCCCAAGCTTTCAGTTATACATAACAGTACGTTAAAGACAACGACACCATACATGATCGGCAGTCATAATGTCTCCATAACATCGTCAGGAGGTGGCAAGACGAATCTTCCACCATTGTAGCCGATAGCTAAAAGCCTCTGATTAAGAAAATGTCACCGGTAGAGATGCAGATTCGGCGTGAGAAGGGTTTGTGCTATATACTTGTGACGCCAAATTCACTCCCACACACAAATGCCCAAACAAACAGCTTATGCTATTGCAGAGCGAGGATGAACAGGAAGAACAAAATGAAGAGGTCCCTGACACTATAGAGGCTGATGCTACGTTGCACCATCTGTCACTTTACGCACTAAGAGGGATAAGAGCTCCGACGACTATTCGCTTCCATGGAACTATTCAAGGTAAAAGGGTGCAAGTTTTATTAGATGGGGGCAGCTCTGACAATTTCATTCATCCTCATGTGACACACCTCAAACTACCTGTGGAGGAAACGGCTAAAATCAGAGTCCTGGGAGGTACTGGAGGAAAAATTCTGAAAAGCGCCGAAGAAGTATGGAATGTGGAAATATAGATTAATGGTCATACGATCTCAATGACATTATATGTGTTACCTATCACGGGAGCTGACGTGGTAATCGGGGCGGATTGGCTTGAAACGTTATGACCTCATATAGCTGACTATAGTACATCCATCGTAAAGTTCCTTCAAGATGGGCAATATATTTCATTAACTGAGTTCAAGGGACCGGCAGTACTTCATGCTCAATTACACCACTTGACTTGTATTTATCAGATGGATGCTATGGCGGCATGCTTTGTGCTCGAAAGCTTATCTAAGGATACGACAACCGATAAAACAAGGGAGGATGTGCCAAATGATTTAACTTCATTACTGCAACGATTTGAGAAGGTTTTCGAGGTCCCATGGGGTTTACCTCCTTGGTGACACCACGAGCATCAAATTGAATTAATAGCAGGCATAGGGCCAGTTTGGGTTCGACCATACCAGTATCCAGTCAGTCAGAAAACAGAAATAAAAAAATATGGTTTCTAAATTACTTAGTGAAGGTTTGATACAAGCAAGCTCAAGTCCTTTCTCGGCCCCTATGATTCTGGTGAAAAAGAAAGATGGTACATGGCGCTTTTGTGTCGATAACAGGGCCCTGAACACTATTACTATCAAAGACGCGTTTCCAATGCCAACTGTGGATGAATTACTTGATGAGCTTTATGGCTCTGTTTTTTACTCCAAGCTCGATCTCCGATCAGGATATCATCAAATATTAATGAGGGAGGCTGATCGAGAAAAGACAGCTTTCCGGACACATCTCGGATTGTATGAATGGCTTGTAATGCCATTTACACTCACGAACTCACTGGCAACATTCCATGCTCTGATGAATACAATCTTCCGACCTTTCCTTCATCACTTTGTGTTGATTTTTTTTGATGACATATTGGTGTATAGTCCTACATGGGAATTACACTTACTTCATCTAGAAAAGGTGCTTGAGACTCTATTGCAGCATCAGTTGTTTGCTAAAAACAAAGTGTACCTTTGGTCAATGGCATGTTGAGTATCTCGGGCACATTGTAACCGAGAAGGGAGTGGAGATGGATTCGGCTAAGTTGAAGGCGATCCAGGATTGGCTGGTACTCGAGAACTTCAATCAACTTAAGGGGTTTTTGGGCCTCAGTGGGTACTACCGTAGATTCATTCAGCGTTTTGCTCAGCGAGCTGGCCCACTAACACGTCTATTATGTAAGGATGGGTTTAGGTGGTCTTCATAGGCCCAAACTGCATTTGATGGACTCAAGGCAGCCTTGACTCAAGCTTCGGTGTTAGCCTTCCCTGATTTCTCCAAGCCCTTTGTGTTAGAAACAGATGCATCGGGCACTGGAGTGGGTGCTGTATTAAGTCAGCAAGACCACCTGATTGCATTTTTCTCCAAGAAGCTCTCTCCCAAGATGCAAGCTCAGTCCGTTTATGTTCGTGAACTTTATGCTATCACGGAAGCCATTACTAAGTTTCACCATTATTTATTAGGTCATCCTTTTGTCTTCTGCACTGATCATGCTAGCTTGCGGCATCTTAATAATCAAATAATTCAGACGCCAGAGCAAGAGACCTGCCTCCCAAAGCTTTTGGGATATCAGTTTACTATTGAGTATAAAGCCGGGAAGCATAACCAAGCTGCAGATGCCTTGTCCTGCAGCTGCTATATGGCACTGTCAACTATGACCGACCCCTTCATCAATAGGTTCTATACCGAAGTTCCTTCGTCTGCAGAAATTACGACACTAAAGGAAAAAGTGGAACAGGGGTTGATTACCAAACCACAATACATGGTCAAACAGGGTGATCTCTTTTGGAATCAGCGATTAGTCATTCCCATGGATAAATCGAACTTGATCCCTTTAATACTTACTAAGCTGTATTCATCTGTTATAGGTCGTCATGCGGGGTTTATGAGGACTTTTTACAGAGTTGCTTGACTGTTTTTTTTGGAGGAATATGCGTGCGGATATTCGAGATTTTATTCAGCGATGTTCAGTATGTCAAGAAGCTAAAATCTCGAACCTCCATCCAGCAGGACTACTCAGTCCATTGCCAATTCCGAACCGCATCTGGGAAGATATTGCTATGGATTTTATTGTCAGGTTGCCAAAGATTAAGAATTGTACTGTTATTCTGGTAGTCATGGATCATCTATCTAAAATATGGACATTTCATAGGCCTTCCCGGTAATTTCTCCAGCACCCATGTTGCAGAGGCCTTCGTGCAGCATGTAGTCAAAGTGCATGGCATCCCAAGGACGATAGTTTCAAACAGGGATAAAGTCTTCATGAGCGCTTTTTGGCGGCATCTTATGAGATTACAGGGGACCCAGTTAAATTTCATTTTGGCATATCATCCTCCGGACGGTCAATCTGAGGCCCTCAACAAGTGTGTGGAAATGTATCTACGGTGCTTGGTCTATGACTACCTGAGAAAATTGCTTGCATATCTTCCATGGGCAGAGCTGTGGTACAACACCTCATTCCATCACTCAACCCACATGACTCTTTTTGAGATTGTATACGGTAGGGAGCCACCACCCCTAATCCGACACTCTTCTCTCGAAGATACACCCTTTGATGTTCACCGTGCACTAGAGCAACGAGATGAATTGCTAGCTCAGCTAAAGATCAGCATCCTTCAAGCTCAAGAACAAATGAAGCGTTATGCAGATGCTAAATGACAGGAAGTGGAATTCCAGGTTGATAACTGGGTATTGGTGAAGCTCCAACCATATCGTCAACATTCGGTTGCTCTTCGTCAATTTCAAAAGTTAGTGTTGGTGTATTTTGGCCCGTTTCGAGTCGTTGAAAGGGTTGGCAGTGTTGCTTACCGTTTGGCATTACTAGACCATGCCAAGATTTACCCTGTCTTTCATGTCTCTGTTCTCAAGAAGTTCCACGGGGAGGGCGATCCGACGTCATACTTACCTCTTCCACTATGTACTACTCCAGAAGGTCCCATTTGCTGACCTCTCACGATTCTGGACAATCGAATAATCCGACGAGGTCATAACGTTGTATGTCAATTTCTGGTGCAATGGGATGGGTCTCTTGACACAACGTGGGAAGACGATGAAACTCTCCGATCACTATACCCCAACATGGACCTTGAGGACAAGGTCTCATTTAATGGGGGAGGTATAGTAATGAATGCCGTTGATATGGGCTCAGATGGGGGTGATCCAAATACAAGTGGGCAGCCCATTATATTGAGAAAGAGCCAAAGAGCCCGAAGAAAGACCTGGAAGCTTAGGGAATTGGACGATGAGGAAGATATTATATAATAGCCTGGGTTGTTAGAAGTGGGGGTGTGCATGTATTCGGTTATTTTCTTTTCTGACAGATTCTCTGTGTCTCTCTCTTTCCCCCTTCGTCCCCACTATAACTCTCATTCTGCATTGTCTATTGTGTCTGTGTAGCGACGGTGTTCATACTCTGAATTACCATAACAGTGATTTCATCAGTTATAAATATATATATTCAAAGTTGCATTCATAGTGATTGTGTATTATTGAGCTAACATGACATTAACCCACTGCCTCGACCGGTTGTGAGGTTGGTCCGTGGTTTTCAGTAAATAGATATTTCACATCTTTACCCAGCGTTTACCAGAATATGCTTAGAATTCATAATTTTATTTTATCTTTAACAACCTGATTTTTCCAATTACGTAACAATGTTAGTAGCACATTCAATCCACCATTAATTAGACAACAAATATATACTAAAATCAATGTGAAGGAATTTAAGAAAGATTACGAAACGAAGAAAGACCAAAAAGGCAAGATAGTTCATTCAAGGAATTCAATTATAAAATTAATGAAATGCAATTTTGAGTAACTAATTTGAAACAAAAACAAAAAAAAGAACAAGTAAGAAATGGCATAAATTTTAAGTCTTTCTTTACCAAAAGTGGTATTCAAAATTTTAGAAATGTGACTAATACACAATACCGAGCAAAATATGAGATTTACACACTTCTCTCAAAATAAAATTTATCATACATTTTAGTCTAATTTTAAATTTTTTAAACAAAACATTCTAAATTTAATTAAATTGTATTTTAATACTTTTACAAAAGTGAGGGTTTTTATTTTTCAGTTCTTTTGTTGTTCTTTGAAAAAATTAAATGTCTTTCTCACATGTCCTCCCTGCATTTCATGTTAAAATTTTTAATATTGAATAGCTTCACATTGTCTAAGATCAATTTACTTGGGCAACATTCTACCTAATTAAACTGCAAACTTAATTTTATATTAAGAACAGTATTTTTTTGAATTGGTAGATGTACTTGCTTGTGCTAATTATCTCCACAAACCCAGTTGTAATATTATTTTTATTTTAAATGGAAGAAGTAGATAGTTAATTTACAAATATATAAAAAAAATTAGTTCAATTAGTTATTTGTAAAAATATGAGTTGGTTTTCTCAGGATCTGTTTGGCTCAATGAGAAGAAGGGGAGGGGAGGGATTTTAATGGAAGGAAAAGGAGAAGACAGTGAAAGGATTTTAACATTACTTTGTTTGGATTTATAAAAAAAGAGGGGAAGGTAGGAGTTTTAATATTATCTTGTTTGGTTTATGAGTGTAAGGGAGGAAAAAATATTTTGAGATAGACAATTTTGCCCTTATTTTATTTAAGACGTGGGTATAATGGTCACAACATGACAAAATATGGACATAATAGCCATAGCATGGCAAAATATTATATTTTTCCTCCAAATCCTTCCAATTTTGGAGGCGAGGTTGAGGAGAGGAAGGGAGGAAAATTTTTTCCTCTCCTCTTAAAATTTGTGTGTTGCCAAACAAAAGAAAATGATTAAAATCCTCCCCTCCCCTCCTCTCTCCTCTCCTCCCCTTTAAATCCCTCATACCAAATGCACCCTTAGAACACTCTTTTTAACTATATAAATATTTTCTAGATGAAAAACCTCCCTAACATGTGCAATTAATAAAAAAATTTGAGAAAAAATTATAAAGTTCAAAGAGAAAGTGGAGTGATGCCTTATATTTAAAATCAAATTAAAATTCCTCTTTTTGTTTTGAAATTAAAGGGATACACACTAAAGACTTGATGTTATAAAGGGGATAAAACATGCAATCTCCCCACTCACGTCATTATAGACAACAATATAATTGAGGAAACCCTCTACGTAGCTCTTATATTTAAAATTAAAAAAAAATATGTTTGTTTGAATACGAAATGGTTAACCTAAACTTGAGTTTTGGAAATGGGAACAAGAAGTTGTTTTCGGGAATCTTTTTTCAAAATTTGCCAAACCAAAAAGTCAAAAAAATGAAATTGGGAAAATGATAGCCAAGCACGAGAAACTTATCCTAATGGCAGCAACATTGCCAGTGACAGCGAATGTGGTGACTGGTGTGTGTGTGTGTGTTTCTCGTGATCCTGAATCAGAAGCAAAGACAGGTGACTATTGATTCCCGGGCTTGTTTGGAATGGTAATAGGATTCTGTAACAATAGCTTTCCAATCTTATACTACCTCCGGTTCTTAATATAAAAATTAGTTTAACATTCAATTTGGTATTAAATATAAAACTCATATTTATTTATTTTTTTTCAAAATAATTGTTATAGTAGTTGTATATGTTAAAAGTTTCATCAGATTGTAATTCTAACTATTATACATTATTAGTAAGCGTATTTTAGGAAAATATATGTTTATTATAAATAACTAATTTAACAAAAAATTTTAATATATTTAAATTAGTTAATAGCTTTTATATTAAAGATCAGATGTAGTATATAAGATATAAATAATCAAATAACATAGATAAAAATGTTTGATCAGGCAGTGAAATAACATGCCTACCCGAAAACCTTACGTTATATATAACACTCGAGGAAGTAATAGGTAGAAATTAATACTTCGATGGCAAACAGGTGGAGGTTAAGGGCAATTTTATTAAATTGTTTTTTAGAACAAGCTTCGGAAAAAAAAAAACAAATTGTTCAGAAAATAAATTTTAAAAAATCACATTTAAAAAAATATAAAAAATTACACTTTGACATGTGGTAGTTGTAACTGGTAGTAATAGATAGCAGATAGCAAATGAGAAAAAAAAAGAAATATTTTTTAATTTTTCAAAATAAAAAATAAAAAAATAAACAAAAATAAAAAAAAACATGCAAACGTTTTTTGGTTTTATAGTTTTTAAAAACATATTACTGTTTTTTACTTTTTAAAATAATCAAATAAAAACAAATTATCAAACAAATTTTTTCATTTTTAAAAATAAAAATTTGTTTCCAAAACAAAAACCAAACAAGTCATACTTCCTTGGCTTCAAAATATAGGAGTTAAAGAACTAGTGTGCTGACGTGGAATCTCTTCATTTCCCTTATGAGTTATGATTCATTTCTTGCAAAGACTAAGGCAACGGGTTAGCTAGTTTAATTGTTTGTAAAGGAAAAAAAATGTATGTCGGTTTTTCAAAAAATATGTCCTTTAATAATTTATATTGAAATTACTCTTATTAATGAAAATTTGTTTCGATATGTACGATCGGTAAAATAATAATAAATTTAAAAGACAAAATAAATTGATATCATATTTGGATTAAATAAACTTCCAAGCTTATATTTTTCTTACTTGAGGGAGTATTAAATTAGTTTTTCTTCCCTTGTGCTCTTTTCGCTTTCTGTTTTGGAATGAAGAGCTGTTTTTAATCTTTCTGAATTATTATCATTATCAACCTGATAATTTTCCGTTGAATAACAATGCACTATCTCACACGGCACGCCGTTTTCCGCAGAAAGCACTTTCTTCCCGCTTGTTTCATCCCGTCTGAGACGTTAGTGTCAATAATCAAAATGACTTCTTCATTAGGCGGTCGGTCGTCCCTTTTCATGTTTTTATATGCAGAAAGTTTAATAAGTTGGATCCAGGTTAAGAGATTTATGAGGATCAGAATATACTTTTATGTTTAGATATCACCTACAAAAGTACTTACAGATTGCTTACTAACAAGATTCTTACATCGTACGATATTGTGGGTTATGAGCAAACTCCTTACTAATTGGATCTCTTTTCTTTTTCTTTTTAATCATTCCCTTCATCTTTTTTTTAAATATTAGGATGGTTTCTTTAGTTTTATTCCAATATTTTATTATCAGGCATGATATATGAAATATATAGTTGTATAGAAATTAATTTCATCAAAATATTCAAATTTGATAATATTAATAAAAATTTAAAAATTATGTTAAATTTCATAAAGTGACTTTTTGGGTATTCCTCGTATTAAAGTATTTTCTAGTAGTGCACAATATTTTTTTCATAAAATATTTTTTCAATCATAATGAGCATCCTAAACTTTTGGATACTCAAAAAATACTTTAGACTATTGAAGTTATCGAAAATTACTTTAGAACATTGAGTATTATATTACACTAAAAATTATTTTAAGATATTGAGTATTAGGGAAAAGTTGAGGGTGTTAAATATAAGTTAATCAAATTTCATTTAGGGATGGTAAAATTTTTATCTCCTTAAGTTGTCTTAATTATTAATTTGATCCTTGAAATTTAATTTTTATCAATTGAATCTCTATTAAAATGCAAATTTGCCCCATAAGTTTAAATTCATAACAATTTTACTTTCTGCCGTTAAAAAACTAACATTAGTTATTAAAATAGTAACACTAACCATCAATATTTTTAATGATAAAAAATAATATTATTATAATTTTAAATTCTTGAGATAAATTTGCATCCAAAAAAGTTTCTAAATACTCAACACTCTATAGCAAAAACTTCCACAATAAATATGCATGTCTTTGGAGTTTTATAAAGATATTCAATTATATTTTAGAGACTACATAAATTTTAAATATTATTAAAAAATTATAATTTCAAATAATTTAATAATGATTAAATTTTGGGCTTCTGCATTACACAAATTAACATTACAATTTTGGATATATCTTCTCGCTAGAACTGTTTTAAATATAACTAAATGGATATTGTATACCGCACAATACCTAATGACTATGTTTGCATCATTCACCAATAATACCATTTAAAATAAACTTGGTTGCCCTGGCATGAAGTTTTAAGAGACAAGTGATTACATAGTGCTACTATAATATGCTTCAAATTCCTATATTTGATATTAATATTCAAAATTGTAATATCCACTGTGAATATCAATGATTACATTATATTATTTTTTTTAGAGGGAATTATTTATTTTTATTTATTAGTGACCTTTTGTTCTTCCCTTCCATCTCTCCCTCGTTGACCAAAAGAAAAAGAAAAAAACAAAAACCTCTCTCTCCCCCCTTCTCTCTCTTCCACTTGAAGATCAAAATCAGAGGGACCAAGCCCGTCGTTACGGAGAATCGAAACGAATTCAACCTTTTTTCGAAACTTTCTGGGGTTATCTTTCTTCTCATTCTGATTCTTCTCTTTCTCTCTGGCGTTTGGCTGCTGAGAAAATTAGAAGGAAAACAAAAACAAAAGAAAAACAAGTCTTTCTGTTTAGTCTTCTTCTTCCCTGTGGCGGTTATCACCCAGACGAAGGAAACAGAGAAAAATGAAAGCTATAAATCCTGTAAGCTCTCTCATTCTTACTCTCTGGCTCTTCATTTGATCATATTTCATAATTCTCTGTATGTTTTAATGAATTTTCGATGCGTGTTCAATCTTGCTGGCTAATGAAACTGAATTTTCTTGGGTTTTCCGATTTCTCTCTGCTTCCCCTGTTTTTCTTTTGAGCAAAACTCCAATGAAATTCAAAGTTCTCGGTGAAGTTTGATTGATGAATCATTGATATTTCTGGCTTTTCTTGCGTTTTTATTTTGAAGCTATCCTTTTGGAATTTTGGATTTGAGTTCAATCTGGCTAGCTTAGGAAACTGAATTTTCTTTGGTTTTCTTTACGTTTCTCTCAGTTTCCCCTGTTCAACTGGTGAGAAAACTGGCTAGAAGGAAGTTCAATGTTCTGTGTGAAGTTTGATTAACTAATAATTCATTCTCTGGCTCTTCTTCTTATTTTATTTCATAACTCTGTATAAAGATTACAACTTTGTTTCTTCATTTTGAATTTTGACTTTTCCTTCAATCTAGCTAGCAGAAGAAACTGAGAATTTTCTCGCGTTTTCTTTGCTTTACGTTTCACTCTGCTTCCCCTGTTTATCAGGTGAGGAAATTAGAAAGAAATTCAAAGTTCTATGTGAGTTTGATTTGACTAATAATTTCAATCCAGTCTGGCTTTTCTTCTAGTTCTTGTGTTGTGTCTCTAATTTCGTACCCGTATCAATTGATCAATCATTATTTGATTTTATTTGATAATTCAGTCTTTCCTGGAAAGTTTTGTTGTGACTTGATTCTGTCTCTCACTTTCCTTCATGAATTCGTAAGATTTTCGGGTTTTATATTATTCAATGTTAAAAGCTTCAGAGTGCAATTTTTGGAGCAAATATAATCTGTTCTCTATCCTTAAATGTCATACCATTTTCTTGTTTAATTCATGTTTAATTGAATTCCCAACTAAGCTTTCCTTAATTGTAAAATTGTATGATGTGGATTTTTTATTTTCATTTTATTTTATTTGACCAGGATGATGTAGATCGTACAGATTGACTTTCTAGAATAAGTTAAATAATCAAATCAATCAGAATGTGATATGAAAATTAATTATTGGTTTAATCATAGTACTTTTTCTTTTCATTCACTATCCACTATTCTAAAAACTCAGATTGAACCAACTGATTTCTCTGGAAAATTGATGATATGATATTATAAACAGTTTGTGGTTTAATTGAATTGGTCAAAAACTGATCAAATTCGTCAAAAACGTGGAAAATCATAAAATCTACGACCGGTTCAAACTCTTTTATCTTTTTTTTTTTTTAAATTTCTTTTGGTTGTTGCTAGCAAATACTACCTCTTGTCCTTAATATAAAACTTTGTTTGATTTTTATTTTGATCCTAAATATAAGATCTTAATCCACTTTGTTTCTCATATTTATATATATATTTTTAAAGTAGTCCTTCTAACAATGATAGTTCTAACCAATACACTTGATTAGTAAGGATTTTTTTTACAAATAACTAACTTAACTTGTTTCTTTAATTTTTTCAAATTAGTCAACTAGTTCTTATTATTAGGACCAGAGGTAGTAACATAATTCTTAGAATATTTTTTCCTATATATAATCTTGAGTTATGATATTTATTTGTAGTAATAATTTTTATTTATTTTATAAAATATTTTAGAAATTTAAAATTAAAATATTTTAATCAAATTACAACTAATTTCACATTGCATTTTTCAAAATATTTGCCGTGTCTTCCAAGTTAAATTCAGAAAAATAAATGGTATGACAATAATTTAGTAATTTGCATTCAAAAATATTGAAGTTAGTATAATTTTTTATTTATATTTTTTTCAGGCAATTATGTTACCAGAACCAAAGAATAAATCGTGCTTTCGCAGTTTCTTCATTATATTTTCTCTGATTTGTGGGGCTTATTTTGTTGGAAACGCCTTAATTGCAACAGAATACAAGGCAGTAAGTATTTCCTCTGACCTTTTTTTTTTTTTATAGCTTTCGGTGACTTATACTTATACGTAATTCTTCTGAAGTTTATGTTATATCCATAATAAATAACCTCCTTAGGCTTTGAAATTTTATCATAAATCCCTTAAACTCTGATATTTATGCAGATAATTTCTTTACTAGTACTCTTTTGGTATTATTTATAAGCTATTTTCACCAAGTTATATCCAAAAAAAAAAAAACCCTTAAATTTTATTAACAATGTCTTAAAATTTAGGGAAAATCACAAATAAAGACCTCCAAATTATCAAAATTATGCAAAAGTCACTTAAGTAGGTAAATATACCTTGAGGGACCCAGTCTCATAATGCAAATATAAAATCTTGATGAAATATCTGAAATGCCCCTCATCAAAATGACGAGTTGACTATAGGAAATGATAAATTCACTTTAGCGAATGACAATTTTAGTAGATCAAATCATAACTTGGTTGAAAGTATGCCGGATGACAAATTATAAGAAATAACAAGTTTACTTTAGCGAATGACAATTTCAATAAACCAAATCATAATTTGACTGAGGGGCATTTTAGACATTTCTCTAAGATTTCATATTTGTAATTTGAGACTGGGTCCTTCATGATAATTTTGCTTATTCAGGTGGCCTCTGATAATTTTAGTAATTCAGAGGTCTTTATTTGTCATTTTTTCTAAAATTTAATAATTTTTTAACTTTATTCTTATTATATCCACTTTACAATACGATGTTAAATAAAAGGTAAAATAATATATTTATATTAAATTTTTTCGACTGAAATATTTTTCTTTTTCTGTATTTTTGCGTTTCCCACTGAAATTTAGGAAGGATACCAAAAAAATATTTATTTATTTATTCATTCAACACATTGTTTTTTGTTTTTGATTTTATTTCTAGGTATCTCCTATATATTGTAAAACAACATTACATGAATTATTTATTATTATACTTAGGAGAAATTTTAAGTTTGAGCCTCGCAGATTAAAAGTCCAAAAAAAAAAACCATGTTAAGAGAACTTTCTCTAATTCGGAGTCTAATATCACAAATTGAATTGGATGTTTAAAATAAAAATAAATTTATTTTAGATTATGCAATTTTCAGAAGAGAAATAAGTTCAAATTCTTGATTATTAATTACTGACTTTGTGGTAAATAAACTATTTGGGCATTGCCCTTTGCAGAGATTAGTGATCGGCACAAAGAAGAATATAAAATCCACTACGTGCAAGGTTTGTCAATTGGAGGGAAATAGTTAATTAATCCTAATTAAATAGATTATATTTTCAGCTTAATTTGTATTTGTTTGTTTGTTTGTTTTTTCGTTTTCTCCCTCTTAATAAGGGTCAAAGCAGGCTGTACGGAAGCAAAGCATTGCCCGAAGGAATAATTGTCAAACAATCTAACTTGGAAATGCAATCGTTGTGGAACCTTAAGGAAAATAAGGTACTTCTAATTGATTTATTTGGATCCAAAAGTGTGTGTGTATATATATGAGCACATGAAAATGGATGGCAATATATATATACTTCTCCGGTCCTAAATATAAGACCCTTATACACACTTGTATAAGAGTCTTACATTTAGGACCGGAGGAATATGTGTGTGTGCGCGTATATCAAATGCACACATGATTTGTCCCAGCAGCAAAAACAAGAATAAGTCTTATTCTATGACGTGAGATTAGTTATATGGATCTTATGGCCTCGTTATATTCTATCAACAATAAAATCTTTACATGAATTATTAACTAAAAGGTCTTATTTAATAATTTTATTAAGCATTTTTTTGGGTCTTTTTTCAGTTCTTTTCAAAGGACTCTTCTATATTGATTTATCTACCATTTTTACTAATGTCTCTAGCTGCTTTCTTTTTGTACATGTCTGATATGTCCGAATTATATTTAAATTTTAATTAGATTAAAGTTGGTCAAATATGAATTATTAAAATAAGACATCAATAAACAAGCTGTTGGTTGAGATGGTAAGCAGTCTCACCTTCTATAAGGAGCAGAAGATAAGTTTGAATTTAGAAAAAGACACTTGTTGAGAGAAGCGAAAATCCTTTACATTCTGAGTCTCAAAAAAAAGAAACCCTTGATCAGATAAAAGAAAATAAGAGATCAACATAAAATATAGAATTCATTGATATATGGTAATACTCACACATATATGTTTATCCTTAAAAGTCTGGTGTGCGAAATGTGACACCTTTGAAGCAACTTTCTTGCTCAATATTTGTCGTCAAATCAAATATTCTTTTTAATCTTATCATATGTTAATGACATGTAGTTATTAATTGATAATTCTTCTGTGTGTAATTTAGTCTTCTTGAATATTTTTTTTTTCTTTTCTTTTTAGTTCTTTGTGACACTTCACACTTGATAATAAAATTCTTGTTGTTTCAGAGACATTCCAAGCCTCCATTGAACTTGTTGGCTATGGCAGTAGGAATTAAGCAGAAAGAAATTGTCAATAAAATAATAGAGAAGGTGATTTTACTTCCACTTAATTACTTCATTTAACTCTAATCTGCACTAATTATCAAATTAGGATTATTTTATGTTTGCAATAAATTACTTGTTCTATATAAATTTTGTTAATCTCTTCTATCTTATTCGGAGTTTTGTGAATTTTTTACAATATTTTTACACGTTTAATTATTTAACCTCCAATAAGATTTTAGTTTGATAATTTAAATTTATAAAGTGTATTTTCAGTGTTTTAGTTTTAATAACATTAACAAAAAAAATATTGACATTAATTTTATCAGAAATGAATGTTGTTTGGAACCACAAATTGTTTCTTCATACTAATATTTATTTATTATTAATAATTGCAGTTCCTTTTCGGTGAGTTTGTTGTAATGCTGTTTCACTATGATGGTATTGTGGATGGATGGAGGGATTTTTCTTGGAGTGATAATGTCATCCATGTTTCTGCAATTAATCAGACAAAATGGTATACAATTATTTTAAAATCAATTGATAATTAATCAATTAATCAATTATTCTTCTAAAATATTTTATCTGGGGGCACAGGTGGTTTGCAAAAAGATTCTTGCATCCGGATATAGTTGCTGATTACAATTATATATTTCTTTGGGATGAAGACCTTGGCGTTGAAAATTTTGACCCAGAAAGGTAATTTAAAAAACTTTTAATATTATCATTATTATTTTTTTTGGCAGAATAATCTTAGATGCTAGTAATAAATTCTTAATAATCCATTCAAGGCAATTCTTGGTTCGCATTAAGCAAAATGATTCCTTTTCAATGACATGTATATTGACATGTGTGCATTATTCATTTTTGCTTCTATTATTATTACTCAATAATAATTATATATTTCTATTCTACTATTTTCTTAATACTTTATAGTAATACTCCTCCGGTCCTAATTATAAGACCCAATTGATTTATTTGAGGAGATTAAGGAAGTAAGTTAAGTTGGTTATTTATAATAAATAAGTGTTGTCATTCCTAAAATATCCTTACTAATTAAGTATATTGGCTAAAACTATCATTATTAGAAGGATTATCTTAGAAAAAAATGCATAAATATAAGAGACAAAATGGATTGGGGTCTTATAATTAGGACCAAATAAAAAGTCAAATGGGGTCTTATAATAAGGACCGGAGGAGTAATAAATATTATACTCTTATTATTTGCACTACTCATGAAAAATCTTCATTCTTCTCGATTTTTTATGCACTAGTCATATTTTCTACACTGTCTTGACAACAATTAGTATAAAAGCCCTGATAATACTTTTTATGTGCTAGTGCTTGACTACTGGGAAAATTCTTTAAAAAAATCACTTGAATTTCAAAATTTTAAATTACCCGTATTTCATACACTTTAATAGGAATTGACTACACTTGAAAAGCAAATTACAAGTTTACAACATATTTTTCTTGATATAGAATTTTGTAATTCAAGTCGTATTTTTTTGCGGGGTCTTTTCTTGACTACTACTTCCGGTCCTAATTATAAAAGCCAATTGACTAATTTGAAGAGATTAAGAAAGTAAGGTGAGTTAGTTATTTGTCCTAAATAGGTGTTGTTTTTTTTAAAATATCATTGCTAATCACATGTATTGACTAGAACTATCATTGTTAGAAGGGTTACTTTGGAAAAAAAAAAGTATAAATATGAGAGATAAAGTGAATTGGGGTCTTATATTTAAGATCAAAATAAAAGTCAAACAAGATCTTATATTAAAAACATGAGGTAGTACTACCTTTGGTCCTAATTATAAGAGCCAATTGATTAATTTGAAGAGATTAAGGAAGTAAGTTGAGTTAGTTATTTGTCCTAAATAGGTGTTGTCTTTCCTAAAATATCCTTGCTAATCAAAGGTATTGACTAGAACTCTTATTATTAGAAGGGCTACTTTGAAAAAAAAATGTATAAATATGAGAAACAAAGTGGATTGAGATCTTATATTTATGACCAAAATAAAAGTCAAACAGGGTCTTATATTAAGGACCGGATGTAGTATTATATAATAAAGCTAGTAAAATAACTAACAGGGAATACCTACTATGATTTTGTGTTTTGTTTATATCATAATTTAATATGTTAACCATATGGTAGGTATTTATCTATTGTTGAAGAAGAGGGACTTGAGATCTCGCAACCTGCGCTTGATCGCCAGCAATCCACTGTGAATCATCAACTCACTGCTCGTAGAACCGGCTCAAGAGTCCACAGGTAATTCTCCTGCAATATTTTCTTTTCTCTGTTTTTTTTTCCCCCTCTCACTTTCAAAGAGATTCAAATATATGAACAAGCCAATCATTATGAATACTTAAGCATGTCAAGGAGGTTTACGTGCTTCTTTGATGATATAATATCATGCATAAGCATTACATCGTTAAAAAAGAACCACAGCGTTTCTTTTTTTTTTTTTCGCTTTTAATAATGTCTTTTTATATAAAGCAATCCTGTTAAATATATGATCAAACATTAATTGTGAGTGCCTCTCCTATGCAAATGTGGGACAAAAACAGAGGCCCAGACCTGACCCATTGGGCCATGATGAAACCAAAATTTCATGGCCTAAGGCCCTTCCAAGCATGAGCATTTCATTTGGGAGAATACTATGGTTAAGTGTTTTATATCACTATATCAAAGTTTTTCAATTATATATAATTATGTCTTATTTTTAAAATATTAGCATTTAATAACATTTAATTATAAAACCACACAAAACAAGAAAGAACATATGACCATATACAAGGTACTGAAAATCGTATTGGTCATTGAATCAGTCAAGACAGTAGATCAAGGATTAGTGGATCAAATCACAGTCAACTCGGGGGTTAAACTAATAAAAAAATAATTTAAATTTTCATCAAGAAATTAATATCAATTTAGTACTTTGAATCACTAATAAAATAATAATATATTTACAATTTCTTCCAACCTTTTTGCAGTCCCTTTGACAAATTAAAATTATAATATCATGCTATCAAAATCACTAAATATTCATATTAGGAAAATATTAAAACAAATATATGATAACAAAATATTGCTCCCTCCAGCCATTCAATCACTAGATAGTAATTATTAACATCTTTAAAAAAAATTCATCAAAATAGTTTTTTTCCCCTAAAAAAGCAACTGATAAACTCACCAAACTTTTTGGGTTACCTGGGTTATTCACAAGTTACCCCGAGTTGATTCAAGTCATACCGAGTTAATTTATCCTTAGTTTGTATGCTCAACCAGACCGGTTTGTCGGTTTCTAGGCTAAACAGGACGGTTTGTTCTAGGTTTTAATATCATGACCATGTATAATTAGAGAATTTGACATAATTGATAAACAAAACTTTACCTAAGTTTTTTCCTTTCATTTTAAGTGTTGAATCTTAACACCATAGACCATAGTTCTTGATTTGATCTTATTATTCCGCAGAATGTACCATAAATTAAGAGGCAATAGAAGGTGCGACGACCCTAGCATTGCTTCTCCTTGCATTGGGTAAGTACTTGCACTTTTTTTTTTTTTACCACTTCTTCATAGTAAGCCATTCACGTCAATTTATAATTTACACAGAATTCAAAGTACACAGAATTCAAAGTACTAATAATATTTATAATTTATGAATAGTATTCTTTACTATATATTTATAAAATTTATAGAATAGTACAGTATTTGCAAGCCATAAATATATATATAATAGTATTTAAAGCAATAATTAATTTGCAGGTGGGTAGAGATGATGGCCCCGGTGTTCTCCAGGAACTCTTGGCCCTGTGTATGGCAAATGATCCAGGTATTATTAAAGAGAGAACCTAAAATTAATATTTTAATTAATACATTAAAATATTAAAAGAAATAAAGGAATAAATCTATAAGATTGCCAATTTTCAAAGGCTGAACAAGAGGACGAGCAGAAAATGAAAAAGAACGAGCAAATTAGAGCCTAATTTGTATGTTATTTAAGGCCTGGGCCACCTACTTGGTTCTGTTCTATTACTGTATAAACCGTTTTCTTTATTTTTAAACTGCAAGCTCCGGTAGTCCTCTTGATGCCAAATGAAAAAACAAACAAAAACTAATTGAATTATCTCTGTCCACAGAATGACCTAATTCATGCTTGGGGCTTGGATAGGAAACTTGGCTATTGTGCACAGGTAACCTCACTTGCAGAGAAGTTTTCATTTTACACTACTTTTTGTCTCTGTTTTGGATTACTTTCAAATAAACCTTTCAAGCCAAAAATTAGCTTTCTTACCTTTCAAACTCAAAGGAGACATGCCCTTGTGTCTCTGATGTGTGAAGAAACGGGTTCTTCGATTTGCACTTTAACCTCTTGGATTGAAATAGAAATATTCCCTTTGACACATCTCAACAATGTTTCAGGGTGATCATTTAAGAAATCTTGGAATAGTTGACGCCGAATACATAGTTCATTTTGGCCTGCCAACTCTTGGTGGCTCAAAAAGCAATCAGGTAAGTGATTTCACTTTCTGCACTAAGCATCAAACGAGGACAACAATCATACGATATGAGACAGTAACTCACTCAAATGCCTCGTACAATGTTCAATTTAGGAGGATATCAGGTTTAAGCACAGTTCTCCAATGTTCAATCTAAGTAATGTCCAGGATTAAACCCTTCTGATAGAACATAGAAAAGGATCAATTGTGAAATGAGCATCTAAGCGTGTCAAAGATATGACTCTTATTGAATAATATACTGACAGGCTCGTGTTTGTTTGTCTGTTTATCATTGGTTTGATCTAATTATCTTTTCTTAATAATGATATGATAATTCATCCTTTATTGGGGTTGCAGGGCTCTCGTACCGATCATACTAGAACCAAAGTAAGCTCCTGGATATTCCCTTTTATTTAAATCCTCATAAACAGCCATGTCTACTAGTGTTGTATAAGTAGAACTGTATTGAGTGTGCAGGTTAGGATGGAATCATACAGGGAAATGGAGACTTTTCAGAAAAGATGGAATAATGCTATGAAGAAGGACAAATGTTGGGCAGATCAATATGCACAAACGACAAATCAGAATAGTACATAAGCTATTCATTACTTTATAAAATGGTGTAAATAGGAAAGCAAGGAAAAATAAGTGTCCAACGAAGGTTGATTCACTACATAAATATACAACTCATACCTCACAATGTTGTGCATTTAAACCATGTTGCTGATGTGAGAACCTCAGTGGATAATCTGTAAATATCTCTTAAGCATTCTTTGAGATAGCCTGTCCTGATCTTAGTTAGCCTTTGAAATCTACCTCACCTGAATTTCTTACCCAAAAGAACAAGTGCTCATTTGATAGCAGAGAAATGTAAGAGATGTATGTTACTTTTTCAGCTTACATAGTGAATGACAATGTCAGTAAAAGATTTACAGAAATAATTCAATTAATTTTCTTACCCAAAAGATCTGTTACCTTATCAGCCTACTTTAACTTGAATTTGTAGCTCTAGGGCATAAAGATTCATGGTTCCATATTTCGATTGTTAGAAGAAGGAAGCTTACCTCATACCAGTTGATATGAAAAACAATACCATCACCATTATCAATCATCTAAGTTGTATTATTGACAAATCATGAATGATTCGACATGTTTTTCAAATTCTATATAATTCAGAGTTGTTTTGGAAAAAGAAACCGCAGAACATCTGACCTAGACAGATTCCTTTCACGATTCTTCTCAACATGAAATATAATTCCTTTCATTAGCAGTGAACTCGATTCTAATATCAATACTACACGTTGGTTTCACTGTTAGCTGGTGATGCAGTTATTCTCGAATCCAAAATTCAATAAACGACAGAACTATCACAAGATTGGACAAGAAAATTTAAGCATTTCATTATTGGATCAAAGATTCTGTAGGAGTTTGGATCTTTTGCTAACATAGGATCAATGATAGCATAAAAATGTCTGTATTAGTGAATTTCGTCCTCTAACGGACGTTTAAGTGTTGTTTCTGCAAAATAAGATATTCCCTGGTAGAGAACACAAAATTCTCTAACACTACCTATACAAAGTGTACAGAATGATACAAAAATCATTCTGATACTGTGAAATTGTTAAATTCTCTACCAAAGTCCTAGTAATTGGATTTGAATTCTCTAAAATACCTTATGGGATACAGCTGGAGAGAGAATGCGAGAAAAAGAAGCATCCTCTACTTCACTTGTTTGTGTCCTCTCTCCAAGACTTACATAGTAAATTTCTTTTCAAACTCTAGAAAATCCAAATTCAAAGTAGATGAATATCTTATCTCTGGAACCAAAGTTATTCAGAAGCCCATCACGGCCATAGAGATGTTGAGCAAGGGCTCCAGCGTGCTTGGATCAAACTTGCGAGCGAAAAGGTAGCATACCGATGTAATTTCTGAATTATGTTGGCACAGGGTTCCGTTGTTTCTTATAGACTGTATAAATCCCACCGTTATGTTCGATGCTCCAAATGTTGCTGGATGAGGACCTCCTTGTGACCAGTCAACCCAAGTCACAGTTCTATTTGAGTTTAGGGAACCATGGAACATGTTCAAGTATGTTGGAATATAGTGTTCATCAGGGTAGCAAGCAGGCTTACAGAATTTTCGGAAGAGTTTGTAGTAATTGGTGTCAGAGATTATATGAACTGCAAGTTCACGGTTAAGTTCAAACCACTGAGAGCCTTTCCGCCAGTGTCTAAGATGGATATGAGGAAGCATGTGCCGGCTATATCGGCCACGGCCATAACGGGAAGGGTCATCATATGAATCAACAAACTGAGAACAGAGCTAGTAAGGTATTTGTAGACAGTAGGGAAGTCATAGACAGGAATGCAGCTTTCAGAGATAAGAATAAAACGCTCATTTGAAAAGTCAAGCAAGGCATTGGCTAAAAGACGCCTCTCAGCATCAGTCAGAGTTGCTGATCCCCATGAAACATCCTGAAGAAGTTATGGAAAAATAACTTAAAAGAATCGACAGAAGAATCCTATAACAAACAGAATTGTAATTATAGCATCAGAATTCTTTTCCCTATCTTTTGAGAAACAAACACTATTGTGATAGACAGAGAATATGCATAAGGTAGAAAAGTCTTTTCTCCTTAATTAGTACCAGTAAGTCCTTGACAAGCAACATCAGATGTCTATTTTATGAATAGTAAACCTCCGCTCAAATGGGTACCATGGTTCATCATTGGACCTCAATCAAAACCGAAAAAAATAAAATCAATATAGCATATCATTTCCAGTAATGAAATAAAAAATGATGACAAAACAAGTCGTTACCTACTCTTGAAATACAAAAAGAACAACAAAAGATATTTGTGGGTGCAAAAGATGACATATAGATTATCTAAATTTCAACCACCAAGGGAAACACATTATCTATGGTGAGCCTAGGAAGAAACCAAATATTAATTCCAATTTAAAACGGAACACTCCCACCCACCCGGGGCCCCACAAAAATAAAAATAAAAAATAAAAAAATCACAGAGACTGAAAATAATATATACTAATTGAAACTAAAGCCCAAAATAATATATTTGCAAGTAGCCCTATTCATGGGATAATCACATGTTTCTTAAATGTTATTTTGATTAATACGCAACATATTCACTTCTTGCGATAGTTTAGGGGGTATAGGATAACATTAGAAAATTCACATATTAAAGTTATCATTAGGTTGAAGTTCAAGGATTACACATAGTTTTCCAAAGTCAAAGTCACAATTCCTAGCCACTTTCAACAGTGTGCCCAGTAAATTCAATTTCCCAAGTCTCTTGAACACGAATGCATGTAATATTCTTCACAAACGGTTCAACACTGCTCTCAGTCTCAAAACAGTCTAAACACATCAGATTAACGTATTGTAATCTTTTATAAGAACGTCCTATCTTCCAAACTTACTCCCTGCAGATAGATATTCCATGCCATTTTTCAATCCTATTTGCTTTTATTGCAGCCACATAGCTGGAAGATTTTGTACCCTACAAGTAAGTCTGTTGATCCCTGTATTGCATATTAATATGTACTTACCTTTAATATTTTTCGCAAATGTACGTAATGCAAAATTTTAATTTTAGAAGATTCTCTTCAATCTGATAGATACTACACATCTTGCAACAATGCTGGTTTTTTCAAAGGAAACTTGAATAGGACTACGAGCAAATGCACAACAGCTAGGAGACATTATATCTCATTCTCACTGTGATTCTAAAACGTAACTCCTTATTTTAGTTCTTTCTCATATAACAATTACATGCCCCAATTCTATAATGTGCCCCTATAACTCCATAATTTATCTTTTGCATATAGCTAATAGCTGATCCATCTAAATCACAGAACAGGGTCATCAATGACGCAGCACAAATCAGCCAAGCTTCTATAATACGCCATCTTATCATACAGAAGCTTTGCAAAAGAAAATATTTCAACTTTCTGAAGCCTCTAGTTCACACTTCATAAAGCAACAAAGAACTCATTGACCCATCATACAATGTCTACGGCATTAAAGATATGAAAGTAAATGCATTATGCATATACTGATGTTAACAAATTAAACGCGGAAAAACCATAGTTAGAATTCTGTTTCCAAACCTGACTTGGAATCTGCCGTCCATGAAAAACAGAAGAATTAGACACATTCATATTGTATACTGGAGGTGCATGGACATATATATTGAACAAATCCTCATGCCCTTTGAAGAACCTTTCCCAGAGAGGCAGCAAGGGTAGAGGCCCCCTTGTCAAAAACATAAAAGCCAATTTAGGCACTCTCCTATAGCTAGAGGGATACCCTTCTTTCTTGGGCACCAAGGAAGCTCTCCAAAAAAGCTCGTCATCGATCAAATTATGGGTCAGGTTAGGGGGATGTAGAAATGTCTCTAAATTCAAACAATTAATTACTTCGCACTCTTGTATGGTTCTTCCACAGTTATCATGTTCCTTAACTTCTTCTGGCACGGGGACAGGTGCGCTTGATGCATGGTTGACGAACGAGTATAGCTCAGATTGTGGACTAAAATAAAGCCTATTAATATGAGAACTTGTAGCTATACCAATAACAATACCTGCTACAAAAACAAGCAAGAATGAAAGAATTTGCGCCCATCTAAGCAAACCCACGTGCCTCTCTGCTTCATCTCTATCTGCTCTATTATGCCTACGCATCCCTTTGGCTCCAACCCCACAAAAGAAAAGAGATTCTCTATCTACTTCTCTTCTGAAGCGACTTAATCAAATCACACCGACAATGAAAGACAAAAACCAAAAAAACCTTCTCTTTTTACCACAGATATTCATTCATCGGCGTCTAGTACTTTCGATTTCGATGCGTTCACGAAATTCAGGAAGAACTCACCCAGGAACAAAATCCCGTCAATGTTCCGCCGTTAAATGCCGAAGCAATCGAAACCCTCCGACGAAATTATCTTGGAACAAGGAATCCACTTTTCGAGTTGCCACGACTAAAATGGATCTGAACGGCGATGAAAAATAGCCGATTCAATGAACTGAAGAGGATCAGAATAAGGGGGTAATGTTGCATTTATCAAAAAGGCACCATGGGTTCAATGGTATTGCATGAAGTAATTAAAAATGAGAAAATCAGACCGCCAACGCGAGAGAGATTCGAAGTGGGGTAGTTGATGATTGTGACTGAAAAAGAAAGAGAATGAGGATAGAATCCGAATAACAATAATAAAATAATAGTAATAATAATTAAACAACAGACAAATCAGGAAAACAAGAATGTTTCTTTGAAAACTAGCCGGCGTCCTCGGCGGCGACGATGGAATTTAGATGGAATGGTCTTATTTTGTCGTTTATGGGTTTTGGGGATTAAAAAACAAGGCGCAAACACATTTTTGCCCTATCGTTTCGCTTCCGTCCACTGTTTTCTTGGACGCGTTACGTGGACTTTTCAATAGGTGGCAAGGCTTTTCTTTTATTTTTTTTTTTTGCCCTTTCAAACCTTGGGACAGCAGGTTGGATTGTTTTTTCCCACTTTGTTTCTTCGTGTTTAACCCTTAAAAAATTTGTCTTCTGTTTTTAAATTGAACCTAGCCCGTACATTTTTCCGGAATTAGATGCTCTAAGCATCATGATACTCATTGGTAAAATTTACACCATTAATTAATGATCTAGCTTTAAAATTTTCAACTTATATCTTTTAATAAAAAATTATTTTTTAAAAAATTATAGTTAAAAAATTATATTTATTTGAATTATATAGCTATTGAAGGAAAAC